ACACCATTGTACATATGCCTGTTTTGAGACAGTAAAGTCTTCTTTCTGTTACCCCCGACCCCAAACGTACCTCTGTCCAAGGTGAGGATGGGCTCCAAACCCCTTAGGACATGCTGCAGTCTCCAGTGGCCAAATCAAAGCACACCCTGACAAAGGGAAACCCTTTTCAGAGCATTTCCCTCAGCTGCATGGAGACCTTCAGCCCTCTGGACAGGTAGTGTGTGCAGTTGCTCTTTTCCTCCGTTATTGCCCCTGGCTGTCTGTACCAGTGCAATAATCACACCTACCAGCATTGCCTCTGGCTAGGACCTGCTGAAGGACAAACGTGGAAAGAAAATCTGAAGCCCATTTTCCCAGCTGCAGGTCCCATTGCCTTGTCCATTCCGAGCCTGTGACCCTGCCCTGTAGTAACATAAAGGAATTCCAGTGCTTCAGGACTGACCAGGAATGTGAGCAATGATCTGCGTAGTGAGGAGAAGAGGCAATAACACAGCATAGATGCCTTACTGCTCTGGGAAAACTGCTGAAAAACAACAGCTTTGATGTTGCTATGAAGTAAAAGGCTGCAGACCTGGTCCTGCCAAAAATTTTTATTACTGAGTGGTAAATTAGTACCTTACAAGACGGGGCCCTGCCTCTTCCCTTTAAAATTGTTATCTATAACAGTGAAAAGCTTTTTTTTAATAGAAATTACATTGAGGGCCCTGTCCTTAATTCAGCCAAAACTGGGTTTTAATTTAGAACCCTGGGGCTTGTTGGATACAATGTTCATTAACTGCTATCTGCTGCAGTACTTAATTCTGAGCTCTCCACAGAAATCACATAACACTTTTCTCATTAAGTTTCATTTTTACACAAGGTCAATTTGGAAAATAAGGCACAGACCAAGATACAGTGATACTTATTGTTAACAGCAGAGAGACCAAGCTAGGCTGCGGGTGCAACTTGCAGAATACCCACCTAATCACGATTTTCACCTTTTTGTATTATTTTTCCTATAAAAAACTAAGTTTAAAACAAGGTTTTTTTATTCTTTTCTAATAGTGTGATTTTTAATTCCTTTTTAAAAGGGAACCATGTGAACTGCTGTCATCCGTCAGCATTTTTCTAGGTGTCTATTCCCAAGGTTAACCCAAAACTGAAATGATAGTAAGAGAATAAAATCAATTGTCCTGATGCTCATATCTTGGAAACAGGCAGAGTCCATGTGTGTGAATGCAACTCGATGTACTAGAAAACTTTAATGTACAACCACTTATTTTTAACCCTGATTCACATCATATCACTGCCTGTTCAGCCAAGCAGAGCCCACAGAGAGGCAGGGCCACTGTGTGCCAGGGTCAGGAGCTACCACTAAACACACCTCTCTCAGCTGCAGGAAAACCTCAAACAGGTCACTCCAGGAGATTTACTGGTATTGTTATTACTCACCATGAAATAGTTGCCAGTTTCCAATGAGCAAATAAAAACAAAACAGGGACTTTATTGCCTCAGGAGTAACACCACAGGCAAAGGGATCAAAAAAGCCTGGACTCCTGTTGTCTTTTCAACAAGATTAAGCATCTCCACCATTTATCTGCTGTCTACTTTAATTGCTGTTAAGATATGTTTGATAATATACGTCAAACCTACCTCTTTTCAGAACATTTTATTTAAACAACACTGACACCTTAATGCCTTTGTAAATTCAGCTGAAACCTGACAAAAATGACAGACTGAAAGACAAGTCAGCAGGCAGGGGAAGACACACTGTGAGTGCAGAAATCTTGATAAAAGTCTCTGACTAAAGAGAAGGAAAAATCTATTTTAGAGACAAAATCAGGTGTAATACCCTACCATTCCATCAGCCAAGAACAAAACGGAGGATCAAGAAAGACCTGAAAAGCCCAATTTTTCCTGTTCTTTCTTTCTATACAGGACCAATTACACAGACTTAGCCCTCAAAAGCGCAGTTACCTATGCACAGGCAGATGCACAACTCCAGTTGCTACAGCACATGGGATACTACCTCTGCCCTGGGGGCACAGGAAACCCGGTAGGGGATAAAATAACAGGCAATGTGCCACACATACGGTTTTTAGCAGCAGAAAATAGTAATGAAGTATAACTACAGGTGTGCAGCTGTCACACAGTTTGTCACCAGTTAAAAGTGCAATTCTTGGGGGGGTGGGGTTAGCAAATGCAATTTGTTGTGAGCACTTCATCAGTTTCACTGGGCTGGCAGGATGGAAACTGCAAGGTGGGTTTTAAATCACTGCCATCTGCAAGTGCTACAAATTCTGAGCTGATTACCATTAAAAACCAAACAGTGATTTATAAACTTTCTGCATGTCATTACTGACACGTGGGCAATAGCAGTTCTAGAAGCTCAAAGAGCATCCCCTTCAGGGAAGGAGCCCTGAATCTCATCTCACCGACCACTCAGGTGGCAACATTTCATGAAACTTTTCCTTCTTTATTTCTAGGTCACGTAGTTTGCAAGGGGGTTTATTGTTTTGGTGTGGAGTGACAAAAGTAAAATTTAAATACACAGTTCTAAACAGGTAGCAAGATTACAGAAAACAAGACACACACTTTAATGGTCCTCTATAATCGTGCATTAAAGGTGACAGGAAACCCTTGTATATGATTTGTCCATGGCATATGCTCACTGCAGTTACCAGCACATCTGGACAACACAGTTACAGAGAGGAAGCAGATTTGTGCTGTACCTTCTGCTCCTCCCCAGCAGCTTACAAAATCGACTTGCAATTGTCCTGATCCTTGCATTATACCTGTGCTTATCGGCACTCTGGATAATCTTCCAATGTTGATGTCTTTGATGGCAAAAAAACATTTCCTTGAAAGGTTACCGTAAAACTACTGGTACCACGTAGTTTAAAAAGTAATAGAGAACGTCACATTAAGTAGTGAGAGCTAAAGAAGACACTGCCCAAGTACATTAAAAGCACATTTGGAGGCAGATGATGAGGGGTGCTAGGGTACAGGGGGATAGGAACTCAGGCTGAGCCAGCTGCTTTGCAGTGAGGTACCAACACACCCAGCCTCACCTTCCCACTCCACCCACCCCTCTTGCACAGCAGGGGCAGAACACCCCAGTTAAACTGATTTTTGTGGAATGCCCTATCTTCTGCTCCCACAAGCTCCCACACAATGGAGCTGCAAAGGAACAGTGGCACGGCAGAGTGAAGTTACTGCTTTGTTACTTCACCAAAAGCATTCTGTGCAGCACTAGCACCTCATCCTTCAGTGATCTGGTCAGCAGCTACAAAGTACAACAGAGAAAATTAAGGTAAAAAAATAGATTTGAGAGTTACAAAAAAGCAAGCCTTCAGTTCAAATAACTGATTTTATTGTTTTTAAACAGTGAGTTTATTTACTGCCTAATCATGAAATCCCTGACAAATAAGCAGTTCTATTAATTTAAAGATTTGCATAAATAGAGATAGCTTGTCATTTAGTATAGTCAAGACTGAGTGAAGGTACTACCTGCACAGAAAAATTATCAGTGCAACATCGTAACACAGATATGTCTTAAGCATGAAAAAACCTCTCAAAAATATCAATACACTTCTTTTTCTCTGAGAAACTGAGGTGGTGCTTCTTTCAAATGAAGCTCCTCTTCTGTTACCAATATAGACCTGATTTTAAAGCATCAATACTTTTCAATAGCAAATGATTGTACTTCTACATTCAAGACACAGCACGCTTTATTTTGTCAGTGAATCTCAGTTTAAGATAGTCTATATTTAAATAATCTGTATATTACATATAAAAATACACATCTCTACCATAAATGAGGTCTTGTCTCCTAAATGCCCAAGCCTTTTGGCCACCTGCCCATACCGTCTTACTTATCTTAAGCTCTGACACATTCATCAAGCAAATTCTGCCACCATCTACTCAGAGAAGTACTTCCTCAGCATACAGTCCTGGAACACAATTAAAATGCAACTCAAAACACATATATAACTTTTCAAATGAGTGTTCAAAGATTGTAGCTTAGAATTTAATTCAACTTGCTGATTAAGAATTTCTTAACATTCAAGCCAGCAGCATAAATTTAACTTCCCCACTACGTCTCAGGGTTCTGTGCATCTCCAGGTAAGCTCACTTTAATTTCCAGTCCTTACGTTAATAGATGACTAGAGAACAGCTTACACTGATCAATTTATATTTCGAGTGCAAACGCACCTGTTGATATCCTTATGCAGTCATAGCACACGGATCTGTTGAAGGCTGAATGTTCTCATATTGAGACATCAACAGGTAAATTTCCCACTGCACTACATTCTGATGCACATTTCACAAAAGCAGTGCTAAATTTGTTTCCTCAAGAGTGAGCCTATCCATAACACTTAAGAGCACACTAAACAACATAATTAAAGACATTAATCAAAGTGGAGATGTAAAACATTGCTCAAACTTTAGCATTGTTCAATTTACTTTAAATTCCCTTAGCCATAAAGGAAACCCATTACCTCATTAGGCTGGCTAATGAGTAGTGCCTGAAAGCATGGCCACAAGATGAACACACACGCACGTTTCTTCCAACTGTTGTTTCAACCTGGGCAGAAGTGTATTAGCTCTGTTAGCAAGACAGTGTCCTCTTACTGTTAAATTCTTAAATTAATAAATTAAGGCTATTAATATGCATAGACTAAGGGCTACCATGGTGATAGAAGTCCTGGAAGGAGACCTCACCAGCTTCCACAATGGTTAGTGTACCTGGGTTTCTTGTACCAAGCCAGGCAGATATGCCTGTACTTTTAAAAGTTAATCCTTTCTCTTCCAAAGCTCCCATCTATATTTTTTTAAAAAGTAAATATATGTTACCTCAGTGTCGTGCAAAGCATAAAGTCATCAACTTCTTCATTAAAAGAAGGCAAAAATGCTCTCTTAGCTACTGGAAAAAGAAGTACCTGAATATAGTCTCGGTGAAACCAACCAAAGTAAACCTCAGAGTAATACTGTTGGGGGTGGGGGGGGGGAATAGCAGCTACCTAATCAACTGTACATACAATTAATGAACTAGTGTTACTATTTGCAAGATCTAGAACACCTGAAGTCAGCTATCTAGAAGCCCTCACAGGAACAGTGGAAATTACAACATTCAGAATTTTAAGAAATAGCTTTTCTCTGGAGAGGCAACCAACACACAGCACTTGGGCTGTTTTGCAGTCTCTCTGTCCAACACCTGTCAGTTTTGGTAAAGAGATGCATGGATCGAGGCAGCGAGACCAAATATTGAATCTATGGATTTTTCTTTACGCTGAAAGACATTTGTTTTAATGATAAAAATAGGCATGATAAAGAAATACTTGCCACTGTCTCAGAATCTACATCTTAAGGAGATATTTCAGAATAAATTATGTAAATAAAGATTTGTGTGAGCATTTAAACATGTTCAGGTGAAAAAAAAGACTGTGTCTGAATTTCACAAGCTTCACAAATATCTGTTACTAAAATTGAACTATTTCAGAATTTGCGTTGGCACAATTTGAAACGGAAGATATGAAAGAACTCATTCTCTAAGAAAAACAATAATTTAAATTAAAAGCTTTGAGAGACCAGGTGTATGAAATTTAAAGTAACTAGAAGTAGTACCATACATAGAAAGTCACACTCAGAATATAAGTAAAAAGAAAGAAAAGCTGGAGAAACAGAATAAAATTGTGTCTGTGCTGAGGTACAAATAGAAAGTTCTATAATACAGGATTAACTCTTTCAATGGCAAATACTTCACATACAAAAATCTAACTGAGATTCACTTATCACATAATTCAAACTTTACATGTAATAAAGGCAAGGCAATACTCAGTTATGGCCTGTCAAATGTTTACCCCACTAACATTATCTACAAAAGCACTTTACCATTTTGTACACAGTGATTCCTTATGCACATTGAAAGGCTTTCTGTTAAAAAAGACATTATATATATATATCTGTACACAATTCCGACAACCATGCTCCATCTCCCAGTGGAATTCTTAAAGCAAGATACCTGAGGTTTCTCAATATCTTCAATTTCTCTATCACAAACCTAAATATACATTTCAGATTTTACAAAAGGACACCTCCCTGGAATATGTGTATTATCATCTAAAAAAATTAGAGCTTTAAGGATCTGAAAAAGACTGCCTCCATCCAAGAGATTTCATTTTCACTCTTGGGAATGTCCTTCCTCCCAAGGACTTCACAGAGACTGAGAGGCAGAACATCATTAGGGTGTACACCTTCAATGCAGACACCATGGGATCTCTGCTGTCTTAGGAAAGCCCGGAAGGAAGAGTATGTCAGTAGGATGAAGAACTTCCTCCAGCTAGGGAATATCTGAAGAGGAAAAGAAATAATTACTATTGCACATTTTAGAAAGGTGCTCTACAAGAAGCAGCAATGAAGTTATTCCATTTTATGCCAATGAAGTTCTAGCCTTTTTTCTTGCACAGTGGCACTCACCACTGCCACCACACTTTAAAGGGAGAACCGTGAAACTGAACAACCCTGTTACAGTATCACTGTTTTCCTAACAAACAGCAACAACCTATGCTCAAGTGTGTTACTAAGCAGCACTTAATGATGAACATTTAGTGACTCCAACTTTCCTACTTTGCAAGTTTACATCAAATCTTTTCAAAATATTACTGGGCCAGGAAAACTGTACTTCTTGATCTTAAGAGCACACCTCCTAATCACATTAAGTTTCTGGTAACCCTCATCAAACATACAAGATCAAAATTGTGCAGGGGGGAAGGTAACTTTCCCACCTTACTGGGCAACTGTTCTGAGGGTGCCAACTCATTCCCTCAGACAAACACAAAATCCAGTTCTAACCAATCATAAGGGGGAGTGAAAATGTCATCAGAAACTTGTTGAAAACCTATCTTCGGTAATTAGCGACCAAATTGAGAGGTTATTGAACGACCTAATGATGTAACAGAGCATACTTCTTGTAGCACTCGGACAAGAGAGAATTATTTTTTCAGAATTTGACTAGCTCCAAAATACAGATTTATCCCAAAGGGAAACCTACTGAGCTATGGAATGATTCGAGCTCATTTTTAGTGGGAGTTCTTGCTATTCATTCTTTCACCCCATTTCTGGAATCATTATCCCATACTAGCTGGAATATCGTCCCTGAAAAAAAGAGAAAGTTCACCTAGATGTGATCCACTGACAAACATTCTATAGGAATAATTCTTTCTTTCTCTCCCTGAAAGAGAATGAAGTGCCTGCCTTCACTGTTCTAAGACATTATGACTAAGAAAAATAGTAACAGTCCAAGGAAGCAGGACAGAAGGAAAGCAATGCTAAACAGGTATATAAAGGGTTCTGAAATCTTCCTCATAGGACAAAAATGATGAATGTTGCTGTCATGACAGAACAAGTAAGATCACTTCCAGCATCCCCAAAAATGCCACTGTCTCCACATGGTCATTTTCAGCCTCAATTTCAGCATCAAGTCTTTGAGGTTTCCAGTTCCAGGAAGATCCCGTACCAGACTGATAAAAATATGACACTGAAATATTAGCTGATCAAAGACTGGATTCAATTTTGGAACCTCTAATGGAAACAAACTGAGATGGAAGTGCCAGCAACTCTTTCAAGTCTGCCAGGATCAAATGAGACAGGACAGGACATCTGGCATTAGAAGTAACCTTCCAGCACTAGAGATGCTGACTGGGCTTCATTCTTAACAGCCCATAAAGCAACAAACACGACTGCTTGCAGGTTTCTTGGCACTGGTTTTTACTGAAGGAGAAACTGTCAGCCTGAAAATCCTGTGCTTCAGCCTCAAAGCTGTGAATTCCTAAACTTAACCAAGCTGTAGTTAAATACAGTGTAAGGGAGACACCTGCTGAGGGTGATCTTTCTCCATGTAGTGGTCCATGATTAATCATTGACATGAGTTTTTTTCTAGTACCAAGCAATCCAATCTGGCTGCTGTGAGATTCGCAACAGCTGTGGGCTCCTAGATTCAAGGTTGCACTTATAGCCTCTTCCAGCAGCAATTCTGAAATTTACACCTCCTATCTTTTTTTATGCAGCATTTAAAGGAACAGAAAATTCAGTATTTGTTCATGATGTATTCCTAAGCAAGGCAGTTAGAAAATCTCATGAAATTTGGCCTTTTGAAGTAAGACCAAATTCTGGTTGGAGGTGCCACCAAAAGGCCATATAGACTGTCTTTAGTGAACAAACAAGGAACCATTGACTATGTGGGTGAAAGAAACACAGACCAACTGAAGAGTCAATTTAGCTACATGGGTAAAAGAAAGTGACAGTGTTCTCTGCAACACACACCCAGACACCAAGAAAGTGTCTTTGCATGAACTGCAAAGTGAGAAGTCTGTCCAGTCTCATTTGACACACAATATGCACACCAACAGGATAAACATACATATGTGCTATCACCTGAAGCTATAAATCAGAACTGCTGATATGATTACGTTTTTTTCCAGTAAGCAAACACACACAAGTGGTTTTCTTCTCCATTAGAAAAAGAAATTAATACTTTCAATTTAACATAAGCCAAATATTTATAGAATCAGATTTGCAGCTTCCTGTAAGCCATACTGAAATAGTTTCATTACCTCTGAAGCCTCTGCACAAGGTGTGACACCATGGTATCTGCAATGCCTGGACAAGCCTCTTCAGCTAAATAAACTGCCTTCCTCAGTTCTTCTATGGAATCTGTGTTGCCACCACACACCTCACTCTTCTCTTTCAACTGAAAGGAAACCAGGAAGAAATTTATTAATAAGATATTAATAAATATTTCTATACACAATATAATGCAGAAGCTTGTTAGGAAGTGGCCATAAATGTTCACAATGTCAGCATTTGACATTCATCATACACCCTCACATTTTTCAAGGAGAAGTTTGTCTTTACAGTACTTATCATGATGTCATTCATCTTCACACATCTTCAATCTTCACACATCATTTTCAGCATGCTCACAGTCAAAAATGACAACCAAGTATCCCAAGAAACAAAGAAGTATTTACCCATAGCTGTTTGGTTTCAAGATGTGCTTCCTATACTTTAGTACCCATACTTACACACCTACAGCTTATAATCAACTTTTTAAAATAATCATATCTTCATAAATTCTTCTCTTACCCTTCATATATCCTTTTTCAAAGTTGATTTTAAGTATTTGGGGAAAAAGTATAAAAAAATACAAAACCCAGAATGGGAACAAAATACAGTTTTCAACGCTGAAGTTCAAAAGTGAAATTCTTGATGATCTGGTCTACGACTGTATCTTGGAACAGTGAAGAGCTTGAAATTTATAATAAGATAAATACATAAAGTAGTGTCAAAAATAGAATGTTGTAAATCCAAATATTTACACACCTTTTTCTTGTTGTGTTCATTGCTTTAGGCCAGCATGGCTGATTTTACTACCATGCATATCAAGTATTGTTGGAAGCAAAATACAGATCTCAGAACCAGACATACCAAAGGCACAGCTAAAACTACTTAACACACGAAGTTCAAAATGGGTAGTAACAACCTTAGGTGTAATTCATTATATATTTCAATTTTTTTCATAAAAATATTGGAATTGTTAAGTTTTAAAGCAGTAACTTACCTCTGCAAATAAAGGAGATATAATTGTAGACAGGCATTGGGATAGAGGCCTCTTTGGGATATCCTTTTCCTTGAAAGAAAAAAAATAACTGACCAATTTATTTCTGAAAAAAAGCATCCTCACTGTATTCTAACTAAAGACAAAATGTAGTTCCAACATGGTACACTTCATCAAAGCTTTATTCCTCTATATGGAAAATGTTCTACAACATACTATTCCAAAGCACTGTGGAAAATGCACCTCAAATATATGCAAGCTCAAAATTAGATGGGGGGAAAAAAACTAAAAAAAGTAAACCACAAACCAAAACCACCAAACTCCCACAATCCTACTGAGCATGAACTAAATCAGACATGCTGATATTTACTAGGTTCATCCCATATGATACAATATTTTTCTTATATTTCTCCAGAATTTTCAGAGCCAGCAAAGCAACAACCTGCTCTGGCCACACAGGTTGCCGAAAATACAATGAGCAATTCCTAAACATCCCTAATTCTGGGTTGTTTTGGTTTAGATTTTCTATTTTTTAATTTTTTATTCTATTCTTTGTTGCATTGTAGTCTTTTTCCTTAAAAGATCAAAATGTCTTCTCCCAAAACTCCAGCCCCAGCCTAGATTTGCATTGTTTTAGTTTACTATGCAGAACGAAGAGTTTAAAAATACAGTATTGCCTGGTCTTCCTCCAGTGGATGTATTTCACAAACTAGAGAAATATTTTGGTACGTATTTTGTCAACTACAAAAAAGGACACATTAACAGAATGCCCAAACTTCAAGACTTACTCAGAAAGTTCTGTGAAAGGCAACTATAGAAAATACATTTTTAGCAAAAGTTCTGGAAGTTTCACAATATAAATGCTTTTAAAGGCATAAAATAAAATCACACCACTAAATTATTAAAGCAAGAATAATCTCCTTGTATTAAAAAGTCAGTATTTTGAGCACCTTATTTCTTTGCAACTCTAAAGGCTGGGCTGCTCCATTCTCTAGATTCTTGGGGTCTTTTTCTCTTATTGTAAAGATCCACTCTTCTGAATCACTCCCACCTGAAGCCTGACCATCTGCTTCACTTCAAGAGAGAGGGAAAAAATAAATAAATCAATTTATATTACCTACACCTTACTGCTGATGTTCATTCAATATACACACTAAATATAAAAACTACAGTAAAGACCAAGATCAGGATACTATTGTGCAGGCCACTACGTATAAAGACAAGTATGAAAATTAAGCTTTTATTTTGGGTAAATTAAAAAATTTAAACCAAGATACTTCACCAAAATGGAAGTGAGAAATTACAGATTGAAAACATTTTCCCAAGTTACATGAAGTGTTTTATTGCTATCTGAAAACTGGCTTTAGCAGAGTACCTAAAATCATTAGGGAAAGGGAAGGAAATTAGAAAACTTAATTCATTTTTCTCGCCTAGAAAAATAGCTAAGACACTGGAACTGTGGTCACTTGAAGGCATGAAGCCATTAATACTGTAAAGATACATACACCTGTAATGTCACCCGAGAAACAACCTGATTACTTAGCTAATGGCTAACCTTGCCATTAGCATGCAGCTTTGAATTGCAGAGAATAGTTGTGTTTTCTTTACTATGAGGTATTTAATGCATTTGTGAATAAACTGTGGCAATCTCTTTGCTTGAATTTCATTTGCATAGTGTTACTTGGCTGTGCAGCTTGAGACCTTCTGCCTGCAGTACAGCTGGCCTCACATCTAGGAAGAACCCTGGACCCTACATAAAAGAGAAGGTAGCACAGAATATGGGCCAGAAGAGTTTTTTCTCAGTGACTGTTACTTGTATAAATTCCCTGGCAATACTGAAATTAAAATTACATTCATTTACCAAGGCCACTAAGCTGAAAAGCTGCAAATAACAGAACACAGGAATACATGTGCTAAAAGTAACTCCTTGGCTCCTCACAAAGGATATTTTATAGACTCATCAAACTTACGTGTCTGACTCATCAGAACTAGAGTCGTCATGACTTTGCTCAGACTTCCATCTCTTGTGCCTGTCAATGAGGTCAGCCAAGTAAGATGTTTTCTTGGAGTTCCGTAAAATGAATTTGTGTTTTAAAAGCTCTTTTGCAGTAGGTCTCTTAAAAGAAAAAAAGAGAGCTGGGGTTTGTTTTTTTTTACCATGTTTCAGAGTGTTAAGTGACTCACCATAGAAACAAAGAAATCTAGAGTTTAGTCTTGATACAAATGAGATTTAAAATATTTACAGTATCTAAAAATACACCTGTCACATGTCACACCATATTAAAGAAGCTAAATGACACTTATTCATGCAATTCATGTAAAGCAGTCAAGGTCTCTACTACACACTGACAAATATGAAACTCACAAAGCTTGGGTCCTTGTTCAAGCAGGCCTCAACAAATTCTTTGAGGGATTTGCTGAAATTTCCTTCCAGTGTTGGTGGATTGTTCTTAGGGATGAGGAACAAAACTTTCATTGGATGCAATTCTGAATGAGGTGGCTCTCCTTTTGCAAGTTCTATGGCTGTTATGCCTAATGACCAGATATCTGCCTGTAAGAAAGAATGCTTTTAAGATTAGGTTGGAGAAATAAAAGAAAAGAAAGCGTTGGCTTGGTATTCTAGTTTAACCAGCAACACACATCTGCTTGCTCACACTGTCCCCTGGTGGAATGGGGGAGGAAGAGAATTTGAAGGGTAAAGGGGAGAAAACTTCTGGGTTATGAACAGTTTAATAATTGGAATAAAATAACAATAATAATAAATTATAATGAAAAAAAAATAACGAAGAGAAAGAACTAAAACCCAAGAAAGGCAAGTGATGGAAGTGGAAACAGCTGCTCACCACCAACAGAAAGACGTTCAGCCAGTCCCAGAGCAGCAGACCCCAGCTCACCTTCCCCACGGTTTTATTGCTGAGCATGCAGCCATATGGTGTGGAATATCCCCCTGGTCAGCCAGGATCGACTGTCCTGGCCGAGTCCCTTCCCAGCTCCTTGTGTACCCTCAGCCTGCCCACTGGTGGTTGAAAAGCAGAAGAGTACTGTGCCAGTACTGCTCAGCAATAAGGAAAACATCCCTGAGTTATCAACACTTGCAGCACAAACCCAAAACACAGCCACATACCAGCTGCTGTGAAGAAAATTAATTTTACCCCAGTGAAAACCACTGATGCCTAGAGAAAGTAGATTTTTAAGCTTTACTGTAAATAACCTAATTTGTAAATTTGTTTTGTTACTATTTTTTTAGTGATTAGCCACATAGCCCAAGTAAACAGTTTCTTGGTTGTCTCCACTCTTCAGTATAAAACAATTCTACTAAGTAGAGCTTAATTTTTTTTTAAATCAATACTACTACACCAAAAAGCAATGGCAGAGCTGTTATAAACTAGCATTTTATCTACCATATTCAAGTATACTATGTAAATATGAGGTAAGCCTAAAATATTTACACAAAGTAAAATGTTTTAACTTACACAAGATTTTTCCTCAACATAAAATAGGTAGTACAACCATCAGAAATTTAATACATTAGAATATAATTTCCCTGAAGTTTAACACTGGTTTTATATATCATTCTTATTCACAGACTAGGGAAATGCAGTCTTGAACAGTAATATTCAGCTTTTTGGTCCAATTAGCCTCTGAAAGTTTTCACCATCAAAATATGCTACTCTTTCTAGGGAATGCTGTCTCCCTTGACACAAATGCTACTGCAAATCTGCCGGAAGTAACGTGAAGTAATGCACTGTAATTCTTGTACGTTTTCCTGAAATCACAGACCCAAAAATCAAGAAAATTATAATAAACCTGTCAGAAAGGTAAAAGAAAAAAAAATTTCACAGAAATGTCTGCTCCAAGGACAAAGTACCAATTAAAAATATTTATGTTTGTTTTTTTCCTGGTTGTTTTTTTTTTTAAGTGAAAGCAGAGCAAAGACTTATTCTCAGGAAAACAGGAAATCTGACATGAGCTGTCTGGTTTTACTCCCAAACAGAGCAGTTGGAATTTTGCTATGCTGTAAACAGATCTATTTCAAGGTACTGGATAGAGCAGAGATTTAATTGATCACAGCTGTCTTTACTAAGTACCCCTCAACCCCACCTGTGACAGCCCTGTGGATTCTCATGGTTGTCTTTGACTGACTTGCATACATCCATTCCACTGTCTCACCCACAGTACCTGGCCCAAAAGCTCCTCCTGCCCTGTTCAGAAAGTATCCTATTGTTAAGAGCTTAGTTACTTAATTTTGCAAGTAAGAATGAAAAAAAAAATATAAATCTGAGTCAATTAGCATAACATCGAATTCATGAAATGCCATTTTGTTAGCCCATGTTACAGAACAGTTCCTGAGCACAAAGAATTATATAAGCACATGAGCCCGAAGTTTCATTTATCTTAATAAGCGCATTATCAGCTAAGCTCTACTCAAGCCTAATTGCGAGTAACTTCCCTCTAGCAAGAAAGCTTTTCTTAGTTACAAAAGAAAACTGTCACCTGCAAAGATGAGTCTTAATGTTAACAACTGAGAATTATTATTGCCAATTTATTCAGAATTTCAGTTTCTCAAGACTGAATTGTTAAAGCCACATAAATGGATAGATTTTCTTCTGCCAAACTTTCAGTCACAGGTGGAGCATGTGTATATTTAAGTATAAACATCAAATTTACATGTGTATGAGTGCATATATATCCACTTGCACACACACTTATGCATATGAATGCTTTATTTTTTTCCTCATGTATTTACAACTCTACAGCGACTGACCTTCCTCTACAAAAATGAACAAAAAAGTGTAACAAACCATGGCTGCACACTAGACTCTTTGAAGTCCAAGATGGGTTTTGGAAGCCCATTCCTGTTGAAAACATCAAAAATAACTCCCCACATATTCCTCTGGAACCATATGCTCCCCTTTCTCAAATAAGAAAGAAGTGCCAATTGCATGTGTATTCAATTAGGCATTTCTAGGATGAACTTGACTGTGAAAATGAATCCCCAGAACAAGCACAAATAGTTCTCCAAATGGAGAGAGATAAGCATGACCACAGGACATGGTGACACTACATTAAGTTTTATCACATGTTGTGATTTTAAGAGTTTCAAATCTTGAACAAAAATTCTTCTTCCAAGTTCAGATGACAGTCAGCAAGTCACTGGTAACTACTATTTACTGTAGTACTGCCAGAAGCCTTTCCTCTTGTAATCTAATGAGTAAAATTCAGTCTGGCTTTCAAGTTCTTGTAAGTTGAAGAAAACAGGCTATGTGCAAGAGAAAGCCACCTTCAAATTAAATATCTATTCTTACAGAACAAGTTTTATAGTAGAAAGAACAGGGAACTAGATATATGAAAAATTAAGCGTGTTAAGAAAACATGTTTTCAGATAAGACAGGAATCAAAACAGGAAGTAGAAGCACTGCCAAAAACTAGAGCCCTTTCGAGCTTTAATTGGGAAATGCTCATCAAGTATCCAAGACTCTTATGTTCATGTGACACTGCAGACTGAAACAGCCAGAATGGAAAACGTAAGGACTGAATTATACTTTGTTCAATTGATGGTCATTCCCAGGAGCCAAACCTCAAAAAACAAAAAAACCACAACCCCAACCAACCAAAAAAACCAAATAAACTAAAAATCCCCCACAAAAACACACAAAGGAAAAAAACACCAACCAACATTCAAAAAAACTTTATTCAACTTTAAATTGTGATTTTAGGGTCATTTAAGCTTCTGCAGGCTCTACAGCGTGTTGTTTGTTATAGCCTCTTAACAGAAAGATATCAAATAGGGAATTAAGCAACACTACAGCCTAGAACAGAGTCAACCACGGCAAGTGGAAAGAAACATCCCAGCCTGTCTCATGGCATGGAGGTATGGCCAATCAACAAATCTCTACAGGGAAATCAGAGGAGACAGGCAAGGAAGACGAGCTCAGGGAAGAACATAAGGAAATACTGATAATTATCATAAAGAAAGCCAATCTTAACACAGGTTGGGCTTGAGGGTGACCTTTGTTTCAGACCTACAGCTGCAGCAGTGCGTTGGGCAAAGAGCCTTTCCTCATAACATGGGTGTCCTGCTGAGCTAGCCAGGCAATGTGGGGCAGGGAGAAGGTAGGGGCAGCAAAGAGCAGTTTATGTACCTCAAACAAACAGAAGCATAAAAAACAAGTAACCAACACAATCAACTTTGAAAAAAGTTCATCTTGAGCTGGCTTTAATGGGCATATTCCTTCCTGGCAAGTAGAGACACGCAGTGCCATACTGGGGAGAATACAGAGAACAGTAATGGAATCACATTTCTGTTGTGACCCAACTATGTATTACAACTGATATTCTGTACTTGTGTTGAGATTTCAGCATGCTGATGTGCCACTCTGCTAAATCAAAATTCTGTATATATAGATAAATTTGGTATTAAATATTAACACCTCCCGAATGGCAAATCTAAAAGGACAGGGTTGGAGTAGCACAGAACCACGCAGCACATTCTGCCAGAGATGAGTAACAGTCTATTCAAACAACACTTTCACATCCACCAAATCCATATTCTTCAACTGTGTTGCTGGCTATTTTTTTTTTCTAAAAACAAGTGGAAGAATATTAACATTCTGTATATATTTGTACTCTTCTACTTTTAAACAGCCAAAAATATTCATCAATTGAGTGGGATAAAAAGTGATGGGATGTACTCTAGAATACTTTATCATTTCTTGCCACCTGGATTGTCTTAATAAACTAGGAAATATAAACTTTGGATACAAATTAGGAAATCTTTCCTCACCAACAGTTTTTAGCTGCTAGGTGTCACCTGAACACGCCCTCATGTAAACACAGCCAAAGTTATTAGCTGTGTTCTGAAGACCAAACTTTTCAAGTTAGAAGAAGGAAGGGACACCGGTAATGCCTTGAAGTACCTTACCTTTGAATCATATGCTGATTGCTTTATTACTTCAGGTGCCATCCAAAATGGTGTTCCCACAAAGGTATTCCTTTTTATCTGTGTGTCTGTTAGCTGTCCAGCTACTCCAAAATCTGCCAGTTTTACTTCCCCTTGTTCAGACAGCAATACATTAGCAGCTGGAATAAAGATGAGGAAATACCAGAAATTAAGATATTTGACACCATTTGACAATGTAAGGGTGCTCATTCAGGTTGCATGAGTTCTTCTGATAATCTTTCATCATACCTTTAATATCTCTGTGGATTTTCTTCTCCGAATGCAAGTAATCGAGTCCTTTGAGTATCTCCCTCAATATTGTAGCAATTTGAGTTTCATCAAGTGAGCCAGGTTCTAACTAGGAGATACAAGAAATGTTTAAATATGTATAAAAAAGGGACAAACAGAGAATAGAAATAACAATGTGATTATAAAAAGAAATTACTCCTTCTGTCACCCCTCAAAATTTCCAATTTTTTAACTTCATAATGTGAGACAAAACATATGGTGTTATTAAAAACACATGGTTCTAAACTAAGTGGCCTAATGAACAACAGGCAAAGAAATAATTTATCTAAAATACTACATAAAATTTGTTAAAGGTGCCATAAAGACAGAGTCTCAAGTTACTGCTTTGTGGTCAGGTCAGATATACTATACCTTTGAAAAGCATATGATGGTTAACATTACACTGAACTTAGATGTGCAACTCCACAGACCCTATGTAGACCCAAATCTCAAAGCCTGAGTAAGAAGCTAAGTTCAAGGTACTACATCAATCAAACAGTCTATGACTACATACTGCATTGGATTTTGAGAAACTCTCTGAAACACAACTCAAACTGATAGGCTGAGAGGACACTACATATTTTAAAATGTTAACTTTTTTCATATAATACTGGAAATATAAATCTGCTAATTGTTAAAAGATACCAAGTAATTCTTCTTATGAGAATAATCAGCAGTGTTAGAGAATCCCAAGTATCTTTATATCTGATATACATTCTAAAAGTGAGAATAACAAAGGTAAGATCACTACTCAGACTTCTTAAACAATAAAGGCATCTCAAGAGACACTGAAACTTTGTGCCCAATAGTTAATACCGGAAATATTCCACTATTCTAGCTTACTCCACAATAGCACTCACTGAAGCACAATCAAAAAGTTGCACCTCCTAAGCTTCATTCTGTGAGAAGGAAAGCGTTTCAGATAAAGATATTCAGATAAAAAATAAAAACAGTATGTCCCTCAGAAATCCTCATGTATAGCAACAGCATAGCAACAGCTTTACTATTTCGTGTAACAATACATTTGCTTTATCTTTGCAGCTTTAGTTACAATCTTTCCTTTTCCTTAGCTCTGATAATACACACAATATTACCGCTACCTGAAACCCACTAAGACATTCTCAAGGCTTTGCTCCAGCCAAGTTTGAGACTTGGTAACATGACACAGCTTATCTAATGGGGGAAAACCTCATATGTCAGATTCAGCTCACCTTAGTGAGGAGGAATTACTGAAAATAAACTAAATTGGAGAATATTGGCACTTTTACCTCGGTCACAAACTTGAGCTATACTCAGAGTTTGAACAAAAATGTACATGCAGTTGCACTGTATGAACTTTTTCATGTGAGGCAGAAATCATCCAGTGCATATTCAAGTACAGAAAACACCAAGCTAGCATGACATGTCTGCACTCTGAACATGGAATTCAAGGTTCCTGGTAATTCTTGCCTTGAGTATGAAAATGCCGCAAAGCATGCCAGCTTCTAGTTGAGAACCATGTGCACGTTAGAACAAGGAGAACATGCACCAGAACAAATGAAGCACACAAAAGGTGCTTGATAGACACTTACATGATGATTTCAGTTCTGTGGTGCAATTTCTTCAATAACATTTTATGATGTGAACAAGGACTTTATACTATTTCCAGGCAACAAATTTAGAGAATAAACACATAGTCTTCACACAAGTGAAATTTGTGTGAGGAAAAGAAAAAAGAAGGAAATATAGTAACAGGTGTTTTCATTCTGCTCTTTTATACCTATACAAAGAAAGCAATAACTAATTTATAAAAGCATACACCCCTTCTAATTGCTCTTCTGTCAGGAAGAAAAAAAGCCATCACAACAATAAATGAACATTTTTTATCATATCTTTATGTGGAACATCATGAATTTTTACACAACCACAGAACCCCTAACAGATGTGGAAGCTAAAGGTAAAAATGGGTTCAAAAATACACATCTGCAAGAAGTCCACATTTAATACCCACTCCTGTCTTCTGGATGTCACCAGCAGAATCCCTTTACAGTGACCTTGTTCCTTTAGCTCTTTTCCCAAGCATTTATCAGTTACCCCATTTGACAACTGCAAACTCTGCTACAAAGATATTCTGCCTCAATTTGTGTAAAAATTTTCACATACTTAAAACATGCATTATTATTTTATAATACTGTTTTTTAAATCCACAATGAATATAAGAAGGTGTGTCATTTGGGAGGGGGCTTGGGTGCTTTTTAATAGCTAAAGTGAATGTCAGCATCCTGTCACAGAAAACATGATCTGCACTGACCCCTTTGAATTTCAATTCTAATCTGAGTACTCCATCCCAAGTGCAGAATTTGCTCCTGTTAACTTTCACATGCTTGGTGATTGCACAGCCCTTTGGTCTATCCAGGGCTCCCTGCAAAGGCCTCTCTACCCTCCATGGAGTCCATAGCTTCTTCTATTTCTTTGAAATATTATTTTTAATACCAGCCTAATTTGTATTTCTGTCTGTTTAGACTTCAGAAAGACTTCAAACAGGGAACCTTTTGTTTATTTGTTTGGGGGAGGGGGTGGTGAGGAAGATACGTGCAAATGTATAAACTATGAAGAGTTGGGGTGGCAGAATTAAAAGATAGAAAAAACTATATTCAGGCGCTAGTGCTCTCTGGCTGACTGAAGATTAGCATTCTAAGATGTTTATATCCTGCTTCCAATATTATGTTGCTTAGTTCCCTTCTATTTACAAAAATAATCAGTCATGCCTCATGGAAAAAAACATTTTTCTGGCATTGACAAATACTTTTCTCCTGTACTGAAAGTAAACGTTGCCACAGAAAAGTGATCTATTATAGTGTCCAGAATTATAAGGTAGGAAAATAATTAAGTGAAGTAAAATAACAAAAAACCATGCATAAATTACTTACTAGATCAAGGGCAGAGCCTCCACCGAGATATTCCATTATTATCCATAATTTTGTATCCTGCAAAACAAAAAAACAATCAAAATGTATTCAATTTATTTTTTAAAAAGAGTAACCTAAGTTAATGGGACTTGCTTCATTCTTTTCGCTGAAGAAATTATCTGTAGTTTTGAAACACCACTAACATTTAGCTGTTCCTCAAAAGTATCTTTGGATTACTTACTCAAGAGTGTGTATGGAGGAGAATGCTTTTTCATATTAAAATTCTAATTACAGATATTCCAAATATCAAATAGTGTTACATATAACATATTACCCTTCCTTAGAAAATATTATTTCGATTTTGTTGACCATCTTTAAATATTTTCTTTAGTAAGCTTGACTCTCTAGTTTAAATTGAAATATAATTTATTCTTCATTTTTCTACATTGTTTCATTTTCTTGAACAGTCAAGTAGGTTTTCTCCATTAATGCTTATGCATCTGATATATGGTATAGAATTTTGCACAGTTGTGTTCAAGAAAGAAGAAGCAAAGTAGAAATGAGGATTGTTTAAGATGACTGTAACAATTTACTAGCTTCATCTAGTAACAATGTTGCTAACAACAACATCAAGCTACTATTCCTAACGAAAACTTTGGTACATATTACAGTACTGTTTAACACAAGATACACAATATACTCTGCTAAAAAAGAGACTGGGCCCAATCCTTTCCTTCCACTGTTTGCAGCATCAGCTTCCCAAATACACTAAGAGAAGCAGTTAGTCCAGCTTTTCCTTGCAGTACCAGCCCTAAATAATACAATAAACACAATAAAGCAAACACACAAATCTACTACATACACACTGGTGGTTTAGTGTTTATGATTATCAAGTTATTTTAAGCTTTGTTAGTTTCACCTCTATGGTACATACTAAACTTTCACAAGACCTCTAACATAATAATATAGATATCTCTCAGAGCAAGGAGCACATAAATAGCAACAGTATTAATTTACTTTATCTGACAGAATAAAACTTCACATAAAAAAATAAAGGCTCACAGCCAGGGCAACTGACTCTTAATTCTCATCTATAAGGATGGATTCAAATTTTTAGAGAAGTAGTAAATGTACTTCAGGACATAACTTCATCTAAATCCTCTGAGGGATTAAAATTTTAGCCCTTAGGACTCACTTAAGTCTTTCAGTCATTATTATTTCTATACTTCACTGCATCCACCCCCTCTCTGGACTCAGAATACTCCTGCTGTAGGTAAATGTGCATTTTTCCTACCTCCTGTTACACATACCATACTATTTTTAGTTAAGACCCTGGATTAGAGTTCCTTCTTCATCCACTATTTTTAACACACAGACTCAGCTAAATTTAGATACCTTTCTTTAGGAATCAATTCATGCTATTTGACAAACGCGGTCTTGTTAAAAATATTTTAGGAGAGCCAGAACACATGTTTTAGGAAGATTATATTTTTTAATTACTCTATCTCAGTACTGACAGACAACATCTGGATTGAGCTTACTTTCTGCAGACACCACTAATATTCCAAGAACTGTAACTCATCTTGATAGAGTCCCTTACAGTATTGATATACTTGTCCTTCTGCTAAAATTTTTTCATGTTTTTCCTATCCCTTCAAGGCTCCAGGTCTTAGCAGTTCCTGAACAAGAACATTACTGAGATGTGTCTTATAATGAGTCATCCTAAACTTCATCAAAATGTTATATTTATATTTTGCTGATAGAACGTGTTTTAAAGCTACATGAAATTTCCTGAATATTCAAACCTTTCGTTTCATTTTTATTGTAACTTAAACACAAACATGTCAAATGCATCACTACCTCCTAGTTCACTGGAAATGCCTGGCTGGGAAAGAAGAAGGTAAAGGAAGTAAAGAAACCCCTTGAACCTTTCAAGAACAGGGAAGAAAATAAGAAGGAAAAAAAAAATAAAAAAAATAAGGGAGAACCTCCAAACACCCACATCATCTCACACAGAGATCAACAAGAAGCAGCTTCCCTCCTCTATTATCTCAAGGATTTAGAGGTAACAACTCAAAATAAGATACAATTTCCCAAAAGAGAAACTCCCTAGAACACTAGGTACCAAATTCCCCAGCTGAAAACTAGAAATTAGAGGTAGAATATAACTAACAAAAAGATATAAGAATTTTAATTACATAATCATATAACACAATTACACTACTACGTTTTATATCACTCATAGTCTTTTTAAATCCTCATTTATAATTTCAATTATTTTTTTCTAGTTCAATTAGTCTTTTCTCCTGAAACTTTCATCATCAGCTGCCTAAGGCCACATGTCTGAATTTATAATACAAAAGCCATTGATCCAGTAAATTCAGTAATTCTACATTTTAAAACAAATGAAATATGGAAATACAGTTAAGAAATACACACACAACTGTATCTGTACCCCAGTGTAAAGCTAAGTAATAGCAATCTATTACAATTATGACATCTTTTTATCTGAATCCTTTGATTGTAAGTTATTTTTAAAGTTTCCATCATTCATATGAAGTATCTGAACACATTCATATGATGTACTCAAATAAAATTAATTACTATGGTAGTGAATCCTACCACCTTTCCCTAACTATTTTCAGAATTTTTTTAAGCTTTCTTTTATAAAATCTGCATATATTGCTTAACAAGGAGATGCAAATAAATCCCTTTGGTGAGACAGCTGTAATGAATTTCTCAATATGTATTTCATCTTAGAGGCAACAACCTATGTATACTGACTTTGTCTGTGGGGGTTTGGATGCTGGGTATCCCCCAAAAGCACTCTGTCACTCCCTTTCTTGCAGGAGCTCTCAAGACCTCTGACCAACGAGCCAATATGATCTCGCAGATCCCATTTATTGTTGACATTACACACTTATTCATACATTCTAAAACTACTGACTACACGATCACACATCTTTTCATTGGTACCCCTATCTTGTCCATGTGCCCTGCACATACCCCTCGGGGCACAGGATTGGTTACAGTCCAGGTGTCCAACCACCCTCTCTTATCTGGCTCCTGTGGTCCTGTTTTCTTGGTTTTCGGCCTCTTCTTTCTTATTTTTAGAACAGCTTATGTCTCAGCAACCTTGAGAAATTCCAGAGGGTCTGATAAGAAACTCTACAGACAGTTTGGCTGGTGTACACTATGGCCCAAGCTGTTCAGATGCATTGCTACACTTTGTCACCTGGATATGGGAGAGAGAATATAGTAAAAGGCTCATGGGGTGAGGTAAGGACAGGGAGAGAGCAATCTCCAGCCGCCCTCATGGGCAAAGCAGACTAAAACTGAGGACATCAGTTTAATTTATTACCAGTCAAATCAGAGTAGTATAATGACAAGTGAAACCACGTCTTAAAACCAATTCCCCCGGCCCCTTCTCCATGGGCTTGAATTTCACTTCCAATTTTCTCCATTTCCTCCTCACAATGGAACTGGGGGATGGGGAATGGGGACTGTGGTCAGTTCATCTCATGTTGTCTCTGCCACTCCTTCCTCCTCAGAGGGAGGGCTCCTCACGCTCCTGCCCTGTTCCCACATGAGACAGTCCTTCATGGACTTGTCCAATATACATCCTTCCCACGGGCTGCACTTCTTCTTCATGAACTGCTCCAGTGTGGGTCCCTTCCATGGGGTGAAGTCCTTAGGGAACAGCCTGCAGGTCTCCCACAGGGTCATAAGTCCTATCAGACCTGCTCCAGAGTGGGTTCATCTCTCCATAAGGCCAGAGGCCTTGCCAGGAGCCTGCTCCAACGTCAGCTTCCCACAGGGTCGCAGTCTCATTCAGGTACATCCAGCTGTGTGGGTGGTGTGAGTGTCCCACACAGGCTGCAGATGGATCTCTGTGCTCCCTCCGAACCTCCATGGGCTGCAGGGGCACAGCTGCCTCACCACAGTCTTCATCAGGGGCTGGAGGGGAATCTCAGCTCCAGCATCTGGAGCACCACCTCCCCCATCCCTTCTCCAATGACCTTGGTGTTTGCAGGGCTGTTCCTCTTTATTATTCTCACTTCTCTCTCCAGCTGCAATTGAGCAGGTTTTTTCCTGCCTTCTCAAATCTCTTATCCCAAAGGCACTGCCACAGTTACTTACAGGCTCAGCCTTGGCCTGCAGCACATCCATCCTGGAGCCAGCTGGCACTGGCTCTACGGGACTTGGGGAAAGCTTCCAGCAGCTTCTCACAGAATCTGCTCCTGTGCCTCCCCACTACCAAAACCTGGCCCTGCAAAGCAGAGATAATGCCTTCTAACAACAGCACAAGGCCAGCACAGTGCTACTATCAACTGACTTTGGCATCACCACAGCAACAGGCCTCCTTCTTTCCTGAGTATCTCTGGCATGCTTCACATTCCCTAACACCTACTGTCACCTTCCTTTTAAAGCTGCCCAAATTCTTTTTTTGCTTGAACTTCTCACCCTCTTCAGTATATATTCCCCTTTTGCTCTCAAACAGAGCTCTGAAAGCACTGCATTTTCTTCCATAGCCTAGACTAGTAATTCTATATTACACATAATCACTTTTACTTTCAAGAAGATACTACATTTATATACTGACACTAGCAACATTCAGTGCTCCATTTTAAGATCCGAAGCAAGACCAGTTTTCTTCTTTTAAACATCAGCCACAACACAGCATTGAATTTTCTTGAAAATACAGTGAAGCCATGGTGAATCATCCATCCAAATTTAGGATTATTATTTCTCTATAAACTTAGATGAGCAGATTAATGAGGGCACATGGAAAATTTCCTTTTTCACAGCAAGAACAAGGGGCTTTCCTCTGATACCATGAAACTGAAGAAAGGAACAGCTCTGGAATCTAGAAGAAACTCTGACAAGAGTTTCTGTAGATTCTTTCCAAACTATGGTTGCTATTCTTGAGGTCTGACTTTTAACTCTGGAACCACAAAAAACCTTATAATAGCAACTTTACCTCTGATGAAGTTTCCTTCATCAAGTTACTTCTATACCATGAAAGTACTTAGAAAATAAGTGCAGATACAATAGGTAAACAATTTCTAGTATGTAAA